TCGGTGAACCCACGAGCCTGTACCTACTATCTGGTCTGGTTTATATTGCTTAAATGATAAATTTAATATTACTCCCTCTATTAAAAAATATAAAACAATTTTTAAGGTGAAATGTTAAAAATATAAAATATTTCAGGCTATAATTAATGAGGTTTTTAAAAATATTGTTAATTAGAGGTGTAATTAATAAATTTTTAATTAAAACACATTATTAAATAATAATAAACGTGGAAAGATAGTATTATTTTAAAAATAATTAATTAACTCATCAAAAATCAAATTCATTTAAACAAAAGTTGTGTGTGTGTGTGTGTATATAAGTTGATGGGCAATTGGTATGGTTTTCACATGGATCATGGATGACATAAAGCGTCTGTTAATACTCTGAAGCAAGGAATTGTAGTTTACATTTTCAAAGGACAAAATATGATTCCCATGTCGTTGACTTCCATGATTATGTTATCTTCTCTATCTTTATCATTAATAAGTCTACACTTTGATACCTTCATTAAGTAATTTAGTCTTTTTTTTTTATTTTAAACATACTTATTATGCATAATCAATTTTTCTTAAATTGTATGAGCGTATTAAATTTTACTTATACTTTGATGAAGATTGTTCACCACAAAAGAGTGAACTTTATCGTTATAAAAAAAAATCAAAGTACTTCCTCCGGTCTATGTTGTATAATAAGCCATTTGAAAGTTTAAACTACTTCATTGAAACTAAGGAAAAGTAGTTAAGTTACTAATTTTAAGAAAATTAATCTTTTAGTCCTTCAACTTTTAACTCACTTGTAACTCAGTCCCTCAACTATGACTCGTTGCGACTCAATTCCTCAACTATAACTCACTGTAACTCAGTCCCTCAACTTTTGATTTACTTATAACTCGATCCTTATTTTTTATTTTTTATTTTAAAAATTCTTATCAAATAAGAGGGATAAAAAAATACTCATATATTATTTTAAAATACCCTCTTATTTCTCATTGATGTGAGATATAAACTAACATAAAAAAAATAACAAAAGTTAAGGGACTAATTTGTAAGTGATTCAAAAGTTGAGGGACTGAGTCATAGGCGAGTTATAGTCGAGGGATTAAGTCAAAGCGAGTCATAATTGAAGGATTGAGTTACAAATGACATAAAAGTTGAAGGACTAAAAAATTAATTTTTCCTTAATTTTATATGAAAATATAATAAACTTTTAATTTTACCTTTATTTAACTGAAATTTTTTTAAATTTGTATTATATTCTCTCTTATATAGTTAATGAATTTAAATAGAGATAATATTGAAAAAAATACTCCCTCTAGTCCAATTTATAAAAGACTTTTAACTAATTAATCACAAGAATTAAGAAAAGTGATTAAAATTAATTAAGTATGTTGATTTTTTCAAAAATTTCCATAGAAATCTCAAATTACCCTTAATTAAAATTATTAACATCGCCTTTAAATCTTAAAATCAAACATGCCATCCAAATGAACCAATTAGGCATGTGGGTATTTTGGAAATAATTAATTAATCCTTCATCAAGTTTTATATTGTATCTTATGTTGAGAACTAAACAAAACCTTTAAAAGGTGACTCACGATAGAAACTGTGAGGATTACACACATACACACACACTGCAGTCAAAACCAAGAAAAAACTCGAAAAACCGATCGATACAATGTGACTCACCAAAAACTTACCAAAACAAACCAAAATACGCATATAATGCCTGAATATTAGCTGGACATCGATTTCATTAAACTTCAATTAGATTTTGGCCAAAAGGAAAACTTCAAGATTGTGCAATTCCTTGCAAAGGGGCCAGATACGCTTGGCTTTATCATCAAACTATTTTTTGAATGAAAGTGGGAATATCATTAAGCTAATGAACTGTACACCAGATAAACAGAAGAAAGCAAGAAAATTAGATCAAAGAATTTTAAAGAGTATGGTTAACTATGATTCTAATGTTCACAAGGAAAGAGTCAACACTGTGAGCTGCATCAGCGAAGATTGGTTTCCTGCATCCCATAATTTCCAGCATATGATGCTGGATGCCACTTTCCAAGCGATGTCAAGCGTGTTAGATCTGAGGATATTGACTAACCAGGAGTCCACTTTTTTCCTTGCAAAATTCAGTGTACAAGTCATTAGGGAGCACTTTTTTCCACACACAGGCAGCAACTGAACAATCCTTAAAAACATGATTGATATCTTCTACTGGACCATGACAGATGGAGCTTTGTTGGTCTTGGGTCATCTTTCTACGGAACCCCTCAGAGTTGGTAAGAAGCCGTCTCTTTAGCATTAACCAGAGGAAGGTTTTAATTCTTTGAGGAACAGAGAGCTCCCAAACATAATTCCATTTGGCATATACATCATTGCAGTGAAGTGATTGGAAAGCTCTGTAAGCAGACTTAACTGTGAAATTACCATGTGGGGTGAGATGCCACAAACAGGTAGGGTCAGGTTCCTCCTTATCGACACGAAAGCATCGTTGATTTGTTGCAGAGTTTTGTCTGGCAGCAGATGACTGAACAAATTCCAAGTCCATTGACCGTTCTCATTCCAGAAATCAGCAATTGGTCTTTGTAAATCATTTTTGTGAATTTCTGCATAGGAGAGGTTTTTAAGGGTCCAGAATCCCCAACCCAGAAGTCGTCCTAGAATTTTAACCTCTCCCATATTCCCTGGTTTCCTCTTCACATGCATCATAGTGTTAGACCATTCGCTTGCAATATTCCTACAGAGGTAGGACGATTTAGCTGTTTTTAGTTCAAATGGTGCCACTTCATTCAAACCATATTTGCCTCTAAGAACACGCGCACACAATAAGTTTGGTTCGGCAGCAATTTTGTATACCAGCTTACAGAGAAAAGCTTTTATTTTGTCCTTCTAGATTGATAAGACCACAAGCACCATTGATTAATGGTTGACAAAGATCATTCCATTTCACCAAGTTAATACCCCTGTGATCATCAGAATAGCCCCAAATAAATTTTCTTACAAGCTTCTCAATAGCTTTACAGCAAGAAGAAGGACGCAAAGCACACTGCATTGTATAGAATGGGATTGAAATAAGTACAGATTTGGCTAAGGTAATTCTCTCAGCAAGGGATAAGGCTTTGCCTTTCTAGCCTGCCAACTTATGATGCAGTCTATCCAGGAAGTGATTATATGTTCTAGTGGTTACTCTTCCTGTAATCAGAGGCACTCCAAGATCTCTACCAAGGAATTCAGTACGGTTGAAACCCAACTTATTGCAAATAGCATTACAAGATGCATCATCAACATTCTAAAGAAGCTGTGTTTTAGTTTCGTTTACCACTTGTCCTGAAGAGAGACAAAACTGAGATATGATTTTCTGGATAGTTTCTATTTAAACATATGTAGTGTCCCCGGATAGAATCAAATCGTCTGCAAAGAAGAGATGTGAGAGGGCTATGCCTCTTTGACCTTGTTTGATTGTGCGCCAGGTTCCTTTCTTCACTTCCAAAGTAATGGCTTGTGAGAGACATTTCATACGAAGGACAAAAATATGAGGCGAGAGTGGATCGCTCTGCCTAATTCCTCTCATTGGTGAAAAGTTGGCAGAGGGTTTGCCATTCCAAATGACCTGCATTGAGGGCGTGGTGATACATACCATAATTAAATTCACTAGCAACTTCGGAATGCCAACATCTCTCCAATATCTTGGATAAAATCCCATCGTAGGTTGTCAAAAGCTTTCTCTAGATCCACTTTAACTACCATCCATCCACTCTTTCCTTTTTTTTCTTCCTCACTGAATGCATCACTTCTTAGGCTATTATTATATTGTCAATGAGGCTACGCCTTTGAATAAAACTTGTTTGAAAAGGTAGAATAATGTGTTGCATGATTGTACTTAGGCGATTAGCAATCACTTTAGTAATAATTTGTATAGAATGGGGCAGAGACTAATTGGTCTAAATTCCTGTAGGTATTGAGGTCAACTAACCTTGAGAATTAAAGTTATAAGAATTCTATTCAGGGAAGAGCATAAGGGTTTACCAACCCAAAATTCTTTGATATTCTCTACAGTCTTATTTATGAGTCACATTTTAGAAGATTCATTTAGTCTCATTTATAAATCATGGTGAGATTTTTTAGGTAATAGTTGAAAAGTATTTTTAAAATTATCCTTCATGAAATAGAAAAAGTAACATAGCATTATTTTTTAAATTTATTATATAGAGACATATTTAAAATTTTATACACTTTTATTTTTTATATTTTTTTTGTATTGATATTAATAAGACTAGTAAAAATAACTTATAAAGAGGACCGGAGGAGAAAATGCTCTCAACTAACACATCCCTTCGGTTCTAGAGGAATAGGGCATGTGGGCCGTCAATCCCAAAGGCTTTAAAAGGTTTCATTTTAAAGAGGGCTTCTTTGACTTCTTCAATTGCAATCAATTTATTATCAAAATATATATTCAAAATTGTATTCTCTCTTTTATGTATAATCTTTAATTTATTCATAAAAAATTGTAAAAAATAAAATTAAAAGGAAGTAATTAATAATATATAAAAAAATAACTTATTAAAAAGATTATTATTTTTTTAGACAGTAGTACTTTTTATATATGGCCCAAGGAGTACGAAGAAACTATTATGAAGAAAAAGGAAACGCATTCCTATCAAGATCACATGTATAGCAAAGATCAAAGATTGACGATCTTTTGTCTCCCTGGCTAGTCGGGTGCGGGGTCTTCTAGAAACAGTGGCTAAAAAAATTCAATCTTTATTATAAATAACACGTGGAACGTAAACATCTTGTATCTCTCAAATATTCCATGGAGGGATACAGCGACGTCATTTCCTTTGCCTCACTTTTACATTAAAACAAAAAATAAATGAATTGACGTTAATGACCCTAACCCAACTCCAATATATATTTTTGGTTGTTCTATCGCTCATCCTAAACCAGAACGCATTACCTTTAATTTGCTTTCTCAACCTACATTCATGGCTTCCTAAACACAAGCTTCTGTTCTCCTCCTCTTGCCCTTGTTGCTCCTCTCTCACTTCGGCTCTTCCCTGGCCTGCCCACTTGTCACCTACTGGGGCCAAAATGTGAATGAAGGAGAGTTGGACGACGCATGTGCAACCCACAAATACGAGATTATAAACATAGCATTCCTCAATGTCTTCGTCAATGGACAGACTCCAGACATCAACCTCTCAGGACATTGTTCTGCTTCCTGGGGTGTTCCTTGTACTAAATATGCCTCCCAAAGCCTTGGCGTCAAAATCTTCCTCTCTCTCGGAGGAGCCGCAGGGTCCTTTACCCTTGCTTCTGCTGAAGACGCTAATGATGTTGCAGCCTACCTCTGGACCAACGTCCTAGGTGGCCAAACTGGTTCCGGCGGCCTCCTAGGAGACGTGGTCTTAGACGGCATTCACTTTGACATCGAAGGTGGTACGAACTTGTACTGGGATGTGCTTCTACAAGAGCTTTACGCATACAGTCAACAAAACAAGGTTTACTTAGCAGCAGTACCTCCAATCCCAGATTACTACTTAAACACTGCCATCAGCACGGGGCTGTTCGACTACATTTGGGTCCAGTTATACAACAACCCTTGCTGCGAATACTGATGATGGAGATACTCAGAAACTTGATAGATTCATGGAACCAGTGGACCACCAACTTCACTGCCCCCAAGTTCTATGTCGGCCTCCCGGCGTCTCTCGCTGCAAACGGTATTGCTGGGGGTTAAATCCCCGTAGATGTGCTCAACAATGAGATTCTTCCGGTAGTAGAAACCTTTACCAAGTTTGGCGGGGTTATGTTGTGGAGTAGGTACGACTATGATAAAATATCTGGGTATAGTGATCAGATCGTTGGTAGTGCCCTTCGAGCTTTTAATGTTGTACCAAGGCCACTGGTTGCCATGATGAAATCTGCCTCGGAGATGTTGTATCGCCTATCATCGCACTTCTAGTGTGATTGCAACCTCTCTGATCAGTTAGTTGCAGGAAGGCTACGGGCTAGTGCCTTGGATCTTGCGTGACAAGTTTATTCTTGTCAATTTGTCATCAATAAATAAAAGTTTGACCGTTTAATCAAGGGACAATATTAAACTTCTAAAATAACACTCCTTCCATTCAAAATATAAAGCATTTTTAATCAAATCTCACCCATCAATAAAGTAATTATCTACTTTTAAACTAATCTTATCTTTCTATATTTATCCTTATTAAACACCTTATAATAAATATAAAGTCATTATCAATAACTTTAAAAAAAAAAGCAATGATTACACCTCGAAATCTTATATTTTATGCCTTATTAAACACCTTATAATAAATATAAAGTCATTATCAATAGGGAAACTTTAAAAAAAAAAGCAATGATTACACCTCGAAAGAATAAAAATGCCTTACATTTTTAAACATTCAACTCCTCAAAAAATGCCTTATATTTTTTAACAGAGGGAGTAAATGATGAGGTTGTCAATAAAATTTTTAAAAATTTAATTAAAAATAATGATTCAAATAATTATAAATTTAGAAATTTTAAATATAAATATGACATTTAAATTTTAAATAGAATTTTTAGTTTATAGTTGAGATTCCTGTTTGAATATGTGAACACCCCTTTGTCCAAGCTCTCGCAAAAAAAATGAAAAAAAATTAAGTGAAAAAAATCCCCCATTAAAGTCTCCTTTTCAAAAACAAAATAATAATAAAAACGAAATAAATAAATAATATTAAATGAAAAATGCCCTTTGATCCCTTTCTTGCAAACTAAGTTGAAAAGTTGTCTAAATTACTACCCATTAACGTCAAAGTTGCTAATCTCCCTTATTTGATTTTCAAATCCTTCATGGTCAGAAAATTTTAGGAAATGTTTGGAAACCATAATAATGATGGCTAAATAAAAATAAATCAATAAAAGAAATTTATGATTTGGGAGATTGTGTCATTATGGAGAGAAGCACTAATTTTCATCTATAAAAGGGAAAGGAAGGTGGTGGATCAAGGAGGAAAAAAAGGAGGCAAAAAGAAAAAAGCTTGAGAAGAGAGTGTGTTGAAAAGGTAGAGAATGTTTGCCTTTTCCTCTTGTATCATCTTCACTTTTGATAATATGTGGTTAGGAATGGGTAGAGATGCCCTAATACGATGATATCCATTATTGCTCTTTATTCTAAAAGCCCCAAGGAAAGCAATACTCTCGTACTTGTGACACATATGTGATCTTCAAAAATGTTAAAACCGCTGAGGGGTATGTGATTGATAATGATTTAGTGAACCACTGCTAGAAAAAGACAAATTAGCGAGGAAATTTAACGAGGGATCGTCCCTTCCTTTCTTAAACTACCAAATCGTGAGGGAGTTAATTTCATAGCTTGGATTTAAAAATTAGCGGGAAAATTAGCGAGGGACTGTCAATTCCTCTCTAAAGTAGAGAATTAGCGAGGAAATAGCGAGGAATTATTCAATCCCTTTTAAATAAGAGAATTAGAGAGAAAAATAGTGAAGGACTGTAATCCCTCTCTAAATAAGAGAATTAGCGAGGAAAATAGTGATGGATGTCAATCTCTCTCTGAAATAAGGGAATTAGCGAGGGATTCGATCCCTAGCGAATTACTATTAACAAAATTAACTTTTGACAATGACGGGGAATTATACAGGGTAAGTTCTTTTTATTTAAAAAATCATTAAAATTAAAAATTTAACTAAAATATTTAATTTATTTAATTAATTTCTTTATTTAAGTTGATTTTCATAAATAAAATAATATTTTATTAAAAATATAATATAATGAATAATTTAAATAAAATATAAATATTTTTAACATATTATAATTGAAAATAAATTTAATATGTATATGTGTATATTATTATTTGATATATTTATGTAGTTAAATAATATATATATATATATACATATTTAATTTCTCATATAATAATTGCAAGTACCTTTCAGTTCAACTGGCAAAAAAAGACATGTGGTGGGTGGATAGGCGCAAGATAGTGGGTGACATGGTGGTTGACAAAGCATGAGTTTATTGATGATATGTCACTAGTTGACATCACACATGGCGGGTGATGTGGCATAGTTATTTTTAAATATAAGCATATTTAGTGAGGGATTAGTGAGGGACTAATTTCTCGCTAAAGTTATCAAATTTTGAATTGTATTAGAGAGGGATTAGCGAGAATTTAGTCTCTAGCTAATTTTAACGAGGGATTGAATCTCTCGCTAAATCACTCACTAATTAGCAGGGAAATACAATTTCTCGCTAATTTAGCGAGCTTTTTTTTAGTTACAAATTTAGCAAGGAATAAAATTTCTGGCTAAAATACAATGTAGCTACAAAAAATGACATTTAACAAGGGATTCATTCCTCGTTAAATTTTATTTTTCTAGTAGTGATTCTTTTGTTTTCCATACCCCTTTCTCGTTTTAATTTTGCCTGTCATGTGTATATACATATGTTTGCGGTGCCTTGTGTTTTATGGTTTCTTTTTATCTCTATCATGGATCTATCTTCGGTGCCCATCAGCTTGTTGAGCATTGAGGTCTCATCACCCTTAAAAAAAAAATGGGCCATTTAAATTTAATTTGGATGGCTCAGATTTTTTATTTTATTTTTAATTTTATATTTATAAAAATAAAAGTTTGTAAATTTTTTTGATAAATATATTTATCATCAATCCGGACAATATTAATTAATTTGGGTGGTTTAATTTAATGTTATAATTTTTATAAATTAAAAATCTAAATATACTCTGAACAGTCCAGATTCAATAAATAAAAGTAGTGGGAAATTGTCATTTGTGAACACTAAACAAAGCGTTAAACTACATGCGTCGTCCATGAAACTGAAAATGTAGAAGAAAGACAAATAGTTAAGATGACAGATGATTCTTTAAAATTATAAAAAATGGAGATCAAGTCTCCATCCCCGATCAACATGCAATACAAATCTCCTATACACAGACACCTCTCATCCTCAATTCAACACCCTCCCAAAAGACTCAGCATCATCACTAGTCAATATTTATCGTCACTTGGCTCTCAATGCTTCTTTCAACACCCAACATTCAAGCTTTCATCAAATTCTTCAAACATCGTCAGTATATTCACAAATCCTCTGCACTATTGCACAACGTAGCTCATTTAATTTGTATTTTTCTCATATTAATTTCTCACTATATATATATGGATCATTTTCAGGTTCTATATTTCAAGCTCTTGATTCCTAAATTCCTCCCCAATTACATTTTTATATATTTGTGTTTTGAAAAAAAAAATGCCGTGGCAAAATATTTGACAACTGGGTTTATATTTAAGTCAAGTCACATATACTATCATTTTAATAAGCTCACAAACAGTGCCACCATGCATCTTGAACACTAAAAGAAGGAGAACAGTGTTAGATTAATGATTAACAATTAAGGAAAATGTTGGTTTCAGAGTAAGGATTTGGTAATCCAGCATTATGATTATTATCATTACAATAAACATTAATAACAGCATGAGGGATTTGCCCACTAACAACATGAAGCCCAATGGAACCATGCATTCGCATAAGGGAAAATGTCAATTAAATCCTAAAATATTGGATTAATAATAGTGAAATTCTCAATAATTTTTTTTAAAATGAGTTACAAATTTTGATTTAAACAATTACAAATATAACTCTCATATTTAGAATTCTCATTCGCAACTATCTAAATTAATATTTATAATTCATTTTTTAAAAATAAATATCAAGAACGACTAACTGTTAAGACTTAATTGTAATTCTTCCTTCACTTATTATTCAACACTTTGCCAACGTGCAAATCGCCAATGAGCATCTTTGACCCCAGACGTTTCCAAGCTGTCCATATTCGTAGTAATACTTTTTTAATCCCATGCAATGAAATGTTTTTCTATTGTCAATAAATTTACATAAATGATCAAATTTACCTTATTAAAAATAAAATAATCAAAATTTTATTAAAATAATTATAATTTTTTTTTATATTCGCAATAATGTAACAATAAATTACAATTTTACATGTCGAAACTCTGATATTGCAACAATGTTAAAAATAACAAGTAATGATTACAAATTTTGTTTGAATAATTATAATTTTCTTCTTATATTACAATAATGCAACAACAAATCATAATTTTCATGCATGTCAAATTTTTTTTTATTGCCACAAGGATAATTTGATCATTTATACAAATTTATTAATGATATAAAAAATTTTAGAGATTTCAGTGGAATTATGATATTTTAAAAAACTAGATTGTTATTTATATAATTTAAAAAAATTTTATTATCAATTTTTTTAAAAATTAAAATTCAAACTGAACCGACTGGTTAATCGGTGAATCAACGAACCTGCACCTAATCTGGTGGTCTGGTTTATATTCGTGATACTTAATTTAATTGTTTCGTAGATCTTAAGTTAAATCGTAAATTTCATATTATATTATATGTACAGGTTGATCGGGCCAACCGTTGACTTTTTTTTCGCATCAGAAACACGAAGCGTCTACTAACAGTAACACTCCGAAGCAAGGAGCTGCAGTTTGACATTTTCAGAGGCGAAAACATGATTCCCGTACATCATTGACCTCCACGATTGTGT